ATTTTTATCCAGACCTCAGATCACCTTAGTAGGTTTTCATTAACTTAAGACTACTTCAGAAGTCTAATATGGTAAAAACAATAGTGATGGAGCAATGAAGAAAAGGAGAGGGGAGATGAATTTGTGTGTGTGTGTGTGTGTGTGTGTGTGTGTGTGTGTGTACACCTAAAATTTACTTTTGGTCAAACACTTACTGGGTTTAGAAAACTAACCTACAGAGGTTAGTTTCACAGAGCACATCTGTGCACAGGGTACCTTGCACTTGGGTAAGATCATAGGCAATATTGTTTGTTGCTTTAGGGGAATTAGTAGAAAATAAAACTATAGGAAATGAATAGCAACTAACATTTGTTAAATTTCTATCATGTGCCAGAAGCGATTGCAAGTTCTTTGAAGGCATACTTATGTAATTTTCTCATAACCCTATAGGATAGTATTACTACCCTCATTTAATATAGGAGAACACAGAGAGATAAGTAACCCTCATTTAATATAACCCTCATGTTAAATAAGATAACCCTCATTCAATATAGGAGAACACAGAGAGATAAGTTCAGGGTCATACAACTATTAAGTGGCAGAATTGGGATACATTTTGGCTCCACAGGCCAAGCTTTAATTATTTTCCTATACTACAGCTCAACCATGTTAGAATCAGCATATACAAATCCTTGAATACTATTTTTACAGTTTGGAATTTTTCTTTTTTCAAGGTAATGTCAAACCATTGAATTTGGTGTTTTTGAGCTAAGAAACAACCTGTTTAGAGTTGTGACTTGGGAAAATGATCTTGGCAGAATTATGGACTATTGCAGTGGTAACCAGCTGAACATTATAGAGTTACCTGTGGTGTTTTGAAAAATCCCAGTACTCAGGTTGCACCCCTATTTAATTAAATTAAAATCTCAGAGGGTGAGATGCAGACATCAGTACTTCTTTAAATTTTTTTAATTTTTTAAATTTATTTTTGAGAGAGAGAGTGTGAGCAGGGGGAGGGGCAAAGAAAGAGAGGGAGACACAGAATCGAATCAGGCTCCAGGCTCTGAGCTGTCAGCACAGAGCCTGATGTGGGGCTTGAACCCATGAACTGTGAGATCATGACCTGAGTCAAAGTCAGATGCTCAACCAACTGAGCCCCCCAGGCACCCCAGACATCAGTACTTTTTTATAGTCTCCTAGGTGATTTCAATGCATGGGCAAAATTGAGAACTATAGAAATAGAGGTAGTTAGCTCAGAGAACAAGTAAGCAAGCAGTTGTATAATCTAGGTTAACCGGTAGGGTAGTAGTAGCTGAATGGAAAATATGTCCCTTTTGGATTTTGCCTTTTTCCCTGGTTCTAGAATTTGCACTTTCCATATTTGGGTTACTTTATTAGTGTGGAGAGAAAAAAAAATTAGTTTTTGTACACTTACTGTGTTATCCTGATCTTGGCTTGATGTCTCACATGCTTTCTCATTTAATCTTCTTCATAATACTGTGGGGTAGATATTATTGTTTTTAGAAATGAAGAAACTGAGACTCTGAAGGGGTTAGTAATTTTTCTAAGATCACATAGCTAATCAGTGGGACATATTAGGATTTAAATACAGATACTCTTAATTTTATTATTCTTGTCATTGAATGAGGCTAATGTTTTTATATTAAAAATTGATCTGTGTCATACCTAGCCTTTTAAAATTTGTGTGTGCATTACCTAATGTGTACTTTGAAAAATATCTGATACATGATCTATTTTATTTATTGATTTTTAAATGTTTATTTTTGAGAATGAGCGTGCACGCAGGGGAGGGTCAGGGAGAGAGAGAAGGAGACAGAGAATCCAAAGCAGGCTCCAAGCTGTCATCCCAAAGCCCAACACGGGACTCAACCTCACTAGAGGTCATAACCTGAGCCAAAAGTCAGACACTTCACCGACTGAGCCACCCAGGCACCCTGTGATCTATTTTATTTAACTCAAAGCTTTGTTTTCCTGTAACTAATGTTGATTTTTCTGGCTGGGGTGCATATTTTGGCATTTAGGCAGTATATTGTTGCTAAAACATAAAGAACAGTTGCTAACTACATTTTATGTGTGGTAGATATTATGAGTCATGGAGATTGATGTTTCCATAATATTATTATCAGTCTTTCTTGTGGCTTGATACTGAACAGCATGATACCCTAATCAGTGATTTGTTAGAAATAGAACTAAAGAAGAAAAAAAGATATTTGTTATATGGTTCTTATGTCTTAATTCAGATCCTAGTCATGATTCAGTATAGAATATAGGCTTATGTATCTGTGTAAGGAATCGACCAAAATGAAATTTCAAGTAAATAAACTCTTACTTCAGACTGAAAATTAAAATTATTTAAATAGGTCATAAGATTAAGTGCCATATACTGAAATATTTATGTGTATGAGCTGTCTCCTATAACCAGTTGTCATATCTAACTTGGCATGATTGTGATGTGTTAACATGGTTTCTTTTGTGCTTTTCAGGTGATTAAGAATGGTTAGGTCAGATATAGAGTATGTTAATGAGGTCAGAGGCCAAGGTCATGGGTTTCATTCTTTTAATGGGCAGTTCACTTTTTTTTGGTTTTATAACCACAGACTTCACCAAGCAGTCTCACCAGATGCATGACATTAGTTACAGCTGACACAGTCGATTTTGAACTTCCCTTGTATATGAAGTCCTTGATGAAGGAGGTTGCTTTAATTATAACAAGAGACCACCATTACCAGAAGAAATATAACTTATGCTCCATTACCAAAAATCAGTGGTGAGTCTATAATAGTGTTATTTATGAAGGACAGAATTATTTAAGAAAAAGGATGGGGGAATTCCTAACAAAGGTATTTGGGTTTATGATGGCCAGAGACTAATAGCAGAAGAAAAGAAAATAGGAATATGCTCTACATTACAACTAAAAATAATCTTAAGAATTGAGGTAATGAGGTGATTTTCTATGTTGAATTGTTTGTATAACAGAATTTTAGGATTAGAACAGATCTTATAAACAAATAAGAAAACTAAATTCAAGATATTTATTCAGATTTACCCAGGGAATCGAGCTAGGCTTAAAACTGAGATTTCAGAATTCAAGTCCATATTAGTTCTTTGTGTATATTAAGCATGCAGAATGTCATAGTTTGGAAAATACAAAGATGTGTAAGATTTTTTTTTTTTTTTTTTTTTTTTTTTTTTTTTTTTTTTTTTTTTTGCTGTAAGAGAATTTGACTCATATCATAAACAAAGGAACTCAGCAAACCACATACAAGAAATTCTTTGCTAGGGATTAGAGTTACAATAATGACTAACCCTTTTTTTCATTCGTGCATTTATCATTCAGTGTTTGTTGAGTGTCTGCCATGTGCCAGGCTTTGTTCTAGTCTTAAGGGATACAACAGTGACCAAAACAGACTAAGTTCCTACTTCAGTAGAGCTAACATTCCAGTGGAGGAAGACAAAAAAAAAAAAATACATAAATATATACTGTTATGTGGTGATTGTTGTGATGGTAAGATGGATAGAGAATGGCAGAATAGGGGATGGGTATTGCTGTTTTCTGGGAATATTATGAAAGTCTTCTGATGAAGTTACTTTTGAACAGAGTCCTAAAAGTAGTTTTCTAGGCAATGATAAGAGCCAAGTGTGGAGTTTGCAGGTCTGTTAGGCAGACTATGGTGGTTAGGCTATAAGTGTCGAGGGAGAAAGGTGAGTGAAGTGTCTTTCACCTCCTCAGTCAAGTGATCTTGTTGGCAGTGGGGACCATGTTTTTATTGTGTTTTTGAATTCCTGTACCTAGCATAGTAAATGATTGAGGAAGGTAAGACTGAATGCAAGGATATGAGAAAAGGTGATAATTGGTCTGGCTTAGGTAGTAGTATTGATGGGAATTGAAGGAAAAGACTAGATGTGAGGTAGACATTGTCTAGGTAAAAATCATCACAACGTAATGACTTCGTAAGATGGGGGGAAAGAGAATCTCAGATTATTAAAGGGTTTAGGTCTGAGTGAAAGAAAGAGGCTATCATTGGAAAACTTGGGCAGATTGGCATCAAAGCTGATTTCAGAGGGAAGCTACTGAGTGCTGTTTTTGACTTAAAGATGCTTTCTAAAACAAGCTAAATGATTTGTAAAATTGGCTTACAGAATTTTATTATTTTCAAGTTTATTTATTTTGAGAGAGAGTATGCTTGAACAAGTGGGGAAATGGCAGAGAGAGAGGGAATCCCAAACAGGCTTAACACTGTCAGTGCAGAGCCTGATGCAGGGCTCAGTGTCACAAACCATGAGGTCATGACCTAAGGTGAAATTAAGAGTTGGATGCTTAGCCAAGTGAGCCACCCAGGTGCCCTTGTTTATAGAATTTTAGAACCAGAAGTCAATTTGCAATAATGTTTGAACATACAGGTAGCAATATTTTGGAGTGAAGATTTGGAAATAGACTAGGTCTGAAGGGGAAACTTGAAAGTTGTCTAAATAAAGGTGATAAATAAGCCTAGAGAATGAATGCAGTCTGCTGGAAAAGAGCGGTAGAGAAAAAACAACAAATAGTTGAGGACTGAGCACTGATGATGGCCATTCACTTACCAAATGAGAAAACAAACTAGAGGCAGGAAAATAGGAGAAGGGAAGCCAGAGGAGTAGAGTACTTTAGGAACCAAGGGAAGAGAAAGCTCGCATGGGGAAAAGGCTGGTAGAATTATATGCCTACAGGGAGGGCAGAACTGTGAAAAGCTCCAGAACAGGTCAGAGAGGACTTCACAGATTGGCAGATTAACTGGAATTTACGGGAGCCTCAGAATTTTTTTTTAAAGGATTTCGTTTCCAGTATAAACATATTATTGCACTTTTTTCCTACTTCTTAAAAGATTAATGCACCACTTAATTCATTTGATAAACCATGGGTGCTCTCTAAATTCAGATTCAAGTATATGACATTAAATCACTGCTGAGAAAATTTGTTTTTTTTTTAGATCTTGCCATATTCAGAAGTTGCTGAAGTTCAAGAGACAGTGAGTAATATATGGTGCTATGTTTGAAATGTTAACATTTTTATATTTTTTCAGGATTTAAAGTTGGATTCTTAAAATATATTTTTCACTGTATTTTATCATAGATGATTATGTCATTATACAAGGTAGCTAATATAAGTTAAAAAGATCAGCTTTAAAATTTTCATTTTTTCCAAAATGTAAATAGGTTTAATTTTTTTTTACTGTAAAAATAATGCATACAAATGTGGCATGTTTAAATACAAAAGAATGTAATAAATAAAATTCTACTTTATAGGGCAACTACTTTTAATATTCTGGTGGTCTCTGTAATTTACTAAGTTTATTCATATGTGTATATCTTACATATGTAATTTTATAAAAGCGGAGTCCTACAAACTTTTTTGTAGCCTATTTTTAAAAGTTAGTATATAATGAATTGTTCAGTCAGTGAAAAAAAACTTTAACGACTACACAGTATTTTGTTGTGTGAAGGTATTATTGTTTATTTCATAATAGATTACTGTTGGAGATTACTACAAATGATGTGATAAATGCCTATGGATACATCTTTTTGAATATTTCAGATGATCATCTTGGTATACTCTCCTAGAAGTGCATTTGCTGGGTCAAAAGGATGATTAGGTTATTTTAAAATAACTGCTTGGCAGGCCAGTTAATATTTTCTATATAACAGTGATAAGCTCTAGTTCCTAGAAAAGCACTTCTGTAAAATATCTCCTGCAAAAGTCAGGGATAAAATGTACACAGTGTGTGTTTTGCTGATGATTGTAGGAATAGGAAAAGTTCTGTTAAGTATAGAGAGATGACTCCTGTCAGAAGAACAAACAAATCTCAGATGTGCTTTAGATCTCTCACTGAAGATTCTTACTCTAAGGGCCAAAGATAACACTAAATACAGTACTTTTGGGATGTGTTATATAATCCTCCTTCCCAGTTGTGGCTCCTGAGAGCCAGCTGCAGCAGGATTGCGTCTCTGAGTACAGCTCGATCAACTTCATTGAGGGAAGAGGCGCTACTTGCTTGAAACTTTATTTGCAAGTTGTATCAATGCTTGATGAGCTGTACTTTGGCTTAAGCTCACAGGATGACTTAAGTCACATCAATATGTATGCTAAGAGGGAGATGCTATGCTACTGGCAGTGGACTCAAGCTCTAGCTCTTATGGGATTGTTTCTGTGTTTTAGGGTGGTCATCTGTCCTGAATTGCTTGGGATTAAGGGGCTCCCAGGATGAGTGTGTGATTGTGAACTTTTTCTGCCTATTCCTTTACACTTCTGAAAGATGGTGTAGGCTAGTTGTTGGTGGCGTGGTAAATATTTAGAAGCACATTAAAATAAAATCCCAATGTTTGCATAATGCTCTTTTCCTGAGGTTTGTAGACTAAAACCGGTAGAGATTTAGGTAATGGCTATATTTCATGCTTTTAGTTAAAAGTAGTTGATAGTGTACTCATTAATAATAAATAGAAAAATGCTAGGCATCTTAGTATTATTTTACTATTTTCGATCCATAGTTTCTGCCAAAATAGAGAATCTGTTTATATGATACACAAATTGTTGAAATGACTGTGTGGACATTGTTGAAGGGATAATGATAAATATGATGTTACTCAATTAGGGGAAATGTTTCCATCATATATTAATGTTTTTTTTTTTTTTTTTTTTTTTTTTTTTTTTTTTAACACGATGAGGAAAAGTTCCTGGATTCTTCCAAGATTCTAGTAGTATTTTGGTTCTCTAACAAAAGCCAAGAAGAGTTGGCTAGCTTTATATTTTTTAAACTATCTTACAAGATACTTATATGGAATGTTTCCACATCAGTAACTTCACACTGTCTTTATTCATGTGTTACACAACATGGGACTGTGCAAATTAGGCCCATGTCCTAAAAGCAGTAAAAATAAGTGTAGTGTGCAATTTAGCCTTGCACACAGGACCAGTGATGTAAGTTACATGGTAAAATTAATATGTAATCTTCAATTACTTAAATCACTTTTCCTATTGGTATCACTTACAGGCAATTCTGGGAGGATAATTTCACTTGTATCCCAGTTTAATGCTTTTGTATCCACAATCTTCTGGGGAAGGTTTCTGAAGTCTTGCTTATTTTTTTTATTGTTTTTCCACTTTTGTTTGGAGTATTTCAGCTTAATTCTTAGTTCCGTTGTTCCATTATAATGTATGTTTTCTAGTGCCTGCCTGTTCTTTTATTCTGTGGCATTTTTCAGTCTTCTGTGAATAGCCATTCAGGTCATATGCCCTAACTCTCATACATATCATAATTTACACTGTTTCTTACAAACCTGAACCTTTCCCTGTACAGGTCTGTGTGTCTAACTCCCTATTTGACATTTCAACTTGAATGTCTAACAAACACTTCAAACTTAACCTGTCCCAAACTTAGCACTTACATTTCTTTCTGTAAACTAGTCCTTCTCACTGTCCTTTCCATCTCTGACAGTGACAGTTCCATCCTTCCAGGTGCTCAGACCCCAACATTTGACACCATTTTGATTCCTCCAGGGTTTTTGTTTGTTTGTTTTGTTTTGTTTTGTTTTTTAATTTCATACTTGCTCTGTTTGGAAATCCTGTTGACTTTCTTTTCAAAAATATTCAGAACTCAACTACTTCTTCTCACCGTCACTGCTACTTCCTTGGTCCAAGTCTCCTTCATCTCTCCCGTAGATTATTATGGTAACTCCTAATTGATTGTACCTTTGTTCCTCTAGTCTATTCTTAACACTACAGCTGGAACAATCCTGTTAAAACATATTCAAATTATGTCACTCCTTTTCTCAGAAATCCAGTGGCTCCCCATCTCATTCAGAAAAAAACCCAAAGTCCTGACTGGGTCCTACACAATCTAGCACTCATTTACTTCTTTGACTTTATTTCCTGCTTCTCTCGTACTTCTAGTCCAGCCTCTCTGGCCTTTTTACTCTTCTCCAAGCCCTTCAGACTTGCTCTTATCCCAGTCCTCCATTCTATACTTGTTCTTCTCTCTGCCTGGAATACTCTTCTCTTTTATGTCCTTATGCTGAACTCCCTCACTTTACTCAGTTCTGTAGTGAAGATTTCTTAGGCCACCCTATCTTCAACTATGACCCCCCTTCCTTAATATTTTATGTGTCCTCATTTTCTGCTTTTTTCCTTAGCATTTTTACTATATAATATGTAACAAATTTTTAATTGTTACTATGTTGTTACTCATATCTTCCACTAGAACATAACTACCACAAAGGGCAAATTTTTGTCTTTTTTGTTCACTGTATCCTTTGATGCCTAAAATGATTACTGTGTATATGATACCTATCATATCTCAAGTATTTGAATGGATGGCTCAATAATAGGAATAGACCGTGTTTATTTTGATTATTCTCCAGTGTCTCAATATGAAAAAAAAATAGAATCAGATTTACATGACCCAAACATGCTTGAAGATATAATGTTGAAAGCACAATCTGAAACAAATATTCAGAAGTTGCTGTATATGCTAGGGATTATTTTCTGGGAGCAAACAGGCAAGGAGTACAGCTACAAAGAAGTTGACGTAATGCTGTTACTTAACAAAATTTGAGAATATGTACAATAAAAGTGAACTTAATCACTTACCCTAACTAGAAGACTGACTAAAAAACCTTCAAAAATGACTGGCCTTGTGAAATTAAATACTCCAAACTTTGCATATATGGTTAGAACCATTGCTTTCCTTTAAGAAATTTAGATTTACTGGTAAATTCAGGGAAATTAGTAATTATTCATATCAATAGAGAAAGATATTTTTAGAGGATGTCTATGAAATATTTGTCAAGCTTACCATGGTTATCTCTGTCAGTTTTCTAACTTCTTTCAGTTTTCCAATATCATAGTAGTTATTTATTGGTACATAACAAATATTCCAAAATTTAAGTGGTATAAAACAATAAACATTTATTATTTTACAGTTTCTGTGGGTCAGGAATCTAAGAGCAGTTTACTAGGTGTATCTAGCTCAAAAATCTCTTCTATGGTTGTGGTCAAGCTACTGGGGAGTGTGGCTGCTGCAGTCTCATCTGAAAGCTTGACTGGGTGTAAGGGAGGGAGGAAAGGTCAAGGCAGGAGATTCATTTACAAACTCACTGGTTGTTGACAGACACCATTCCTTCACCTCATGGGCTTCCCTGCAAGGCTGCCTGATGACTCAGCAGCTGGCTTTCCCCAGGGTGATCTATCTGAGAGAGAGTAACAGACTATAAACAAGATGGAGGTCATAGTCTTTTTACCGTCTAATCTTGAAAGTGACATCCATTCAATTCTGCCATATTCTGTTCATTAGAAGTGACTCAGTAAGTCCAGAAACACTCAAAGAGAGGGGATTATGCACCAAGATATGGGGATCACTGGAGCCTTTGCAGAGATTGCCTACCACAAATACTTTAATCTTTTTCCACATGCTTGAGAGTTGTGGTAACATGGTCATCAGTAATAAGGATTTGAGCACAATTAGTTTGTTGTCATTCCAGTTGTATTTTTTTAGTTTATCTGTGAAGCTGAAACCAGTCTATAGAAGAATAGGAAACTACAGAAAATGACTAGAGCAAATGCACTTAAAGGAATTAGAACATGGTTTAAAGCACTGTGAAATAACCATCACTTAAGGGAAGCAACAGGGCCAAGAGTTTTTTCCTAGGAGGCAGAGTGAACAACTGCTACCTCTCTTTTTGGTCACAGATAATTTTGCTTCATTCCCTTCAAATAAGAGCAAGCAATAATATAATCAGTGGGAATTTTTTATTTTTGTTGTTACTTTAGGTTTGATGTTACTGTACTTGGTATTTGAGCTGAAGTAAAGCTGAAGACTGTTTCTTTTATTTTTTTAAGTTTATATTTATTTTTGAAAGAGACAGAGACAGTGCATGAGCAGGGCAGAGAATGAGGGAGAGAGAGAAACCCAAGCAGGCTCCGCAATGTCAGCGCAGAGCCTGATGTGGGGCTCCATCTCACAAACTGCGAGATCATGACCTGAGCCAATTATCAAGATTCAGACTGACTTAACTGACTGAACACCCAGGCACCCCAAAGCTGAAGACTCTGTTTCTGCCAAGGGAGACCAAAACACTTGTCCCTAAGCAACATTTATTTTCATTTTATTTTATTTTTTTTAATTTTGTGTGTGTGTGTGTGTGTGTGTGTTTTCAATATATGAAATTTATTGTCAAATTGGTTTCCATACAACACCCAGTGCTCATCCCAAAAGGTGCCCTCCTCAATACCCATCACCCACCCTCCCCTCCCTCCCACCCCCCATCAACCCTCAGTTTGTTCTCAGTTTTTAAGAGTCTCTTATGCCTAAGCAACATTTAGCATAATGTTGTATGTTAAGACAGTTTCCAGACAAAAGGTCACCAGTCTTTCCCAGTTTCTTTTAGGTGATTGCATGTTATTCATTTAAGAATTGGGTCTTCTTCCTTCTTAAAGCGCAGTAGCTCCAGGTGCTTTACTTCATGTTTAGTGGGTCCCAAGAAAATTTTGTCTGACAATAAAATTGTATCATTTCTAATCAATATTCCTCTTCGGTTTTTTTCTTCTTCTTCTTTTTTTGGTATTTGAGAAAAAATTTACTTTGTTGATGTCTTTGTAAAAGCTCTTTGCACAAAGCTTGGCATATAATGAGCACTTAGTAAATGTTCCTTTCTTTTTATGTAAGAAACAGACTGAATTTCTATGTAGTGTTAAGTGCTCTCATGGCATGCAGAACTAATATTTAATAGTGCATGGGTGTTACAGATTTTTTAAACCACTTACATTTAAAGAATGAATAACTTTGGGCTGTCCTTTACATTTCTGAATAATTTTACCACTCCTAACCCATATCATGAGTTAAAATTTGAAAGTAATTTTTGACTTGAATAATTTTCAAAACAAAGTACTTGGTTGATTTCGGTTTTGCCTTTCCATCTTTATTTTCCAAAATTTAAACAAATATTTTATAATGCTTAAGCCAAGATCTTTTTATGTGTGGCAGAGGAAATTCCTTGTGAATTATGATTATTAGGATTGATTTGCATGTGCTTTCTACTTATAAACTAATGCTTATTTTCCTTGTCCTTTTGTTTCACTGCTGCTTCAATCCTGATGCATTTTGCTTCTTCCTGGTTTGGATTATATTTGTTTGCTGCTCAATTACCCTGCATTAAAAGCTTCTTGGTGATAGCAAAGATGTCCTTGGGCCATCAAGTAAGTAGCCAAAGTTTGAATGGCATATTTGGAGACAGAATGTTTTGATGTGTACTTATAAAAGGCATACAGTATTTCTCTTATTAAGTCTTCTACTTTTCTTCCCAAGCACTGAAATGCAAAGAATATAAATGGTGATTCAGTGCCCATCTGTTGTCAGTGCCCATATGAGATTGATAATGTTTGTGTATTTGCTTCTTGATTGTCTAAAGATGGATTATATACTTAGCTAAATTATCTAATTCATAATTTTAGACCTCATCTTCAGGCATGGTGGGAGGGGTTAAAAAAAAAAAAAGACCTCTTCATAGTTTTCCTTTCTATAGTCATCATAAAGCATAGATCAGACTTCTTTGAGACTGGACATGATAAAAGAAATTCACTTTCATGTGAAAATGAGAAATACTGTTTTATTTTGTCACAATCTTTACATAATAGATAATTTGGTTATGAAACACATTTATTTTTACTCTGGGATTTTATAAGTGAAGCGTGTTTCATCTTAGTGATTTAAAAGATGTACCCATTAAATTTATGTCTGAAAAAAAAAATTTTTTGACCAGACACTGTGCTAGCTTTGGGGAATATATGATGAATAAAATATGCACCCTGCCTGTACCCTTACATTATAGTCTAGCAGGGGGGTTACACCCATGAATAGATAATTTTAGAGCATTGTGACAGGGGCAACTTTTTTTTTTTAAATCATAGTATTACTGAGGTGAAAGAAACCTAAAATATCATCTTTTTTTCTAATATAATTTATTGTCAAGTTAGAGTGTATTGTTGACATAGAGTGTATACAGTGTGCTCTTGGCTTTGGGAGTAGATTCCCATGCTTAATCACTTACATACAACACCCAGTGCTCATCCCAACAAGTGCCCTCCTCAATGCCCATCACCATTTTCCCCTCTCCCTCCCTCAGTTTTTTCTCTGTATTTAAGAGTCTCTTATGGTTTGCCTCCCTCTCTGTTTGAAACTATTTTTTCCACTTCCCTTCAAGCATTAATTTTCTAGACAAAGAGCCTGAAGCTAAGAACTTACATGACCAAAAAGAGTTAGAAATGGGTACTATGCCACTGTGTCTTCAGCAAGATTCTTTTGAGTTCAAAAATCATAATGAAACCATCAGTTTGCTAAATTCAAATCTGACCAAATAATTAAAATATTATTTGGTCAGATTTGAATCGGACAAAAATTGGACTGTCATAAATCGGACAAAAATTAAACTTTATTGAAGCGTAATGTAGAAATTATATTGATTTAGGAAGTTTTAGTATTTCTTCTTAAACTGTTATCTGACCACAGTAAGTCAGCTCAATGCCTTGGGGCTCATTTTTTTCCCATTGACTAAACAAGGTGAAATAGCAAGCTTTCTTCTAGTTGTAAAATTCTTTGGTATGGATTGGTTGCTATTTGTCTCTAATATTGATTATAGTATATAATGTAATTTTTTTTCTAAAAAGAGGTGATTTAAAGTAATATGCTAAAATTCCTTTTTAAAATTCTTAATTTTAACAATTCATAGTATTTTAAATATATTTTTTATTACACAACCAGCATTATTAGAATAGTAGAATTTTTTTTGAGAGAGAGCACATGAGTGGGAGAGAGGGGCAGAGAGAGAGAGAGAGAGAGAGAGAATCTTAAGCAGGCTCCACCCTCAGTCCAGAGCCTGACACAGAGCTTGATCCCACAAACCTGGGATCATAACCTGAGCCAAAACCAAGAGTTGGATGTTCAATTGACTGAGCCACCCAGGCACCCCTAGAATAGTAGAAATTTTAAAAGTTGAAAAAAGTATACAAATATGAAAATATTTTTATGTTTTCTTGTCAGCCTTGCTTGTGATACCTGGCAGATATTTTCAATGGATTTTTCAATTCCTTTAGTTACCTTATGTATTTAGATGTTGGCTCAGGTGAACTGATTGGCAATGATGAACTGACCAGTAGAATTGCATTTTTTTTAAGATAATTTTTATTTATTCATTAATTCATTCACATAATGCACACGAGTTGGGGAGAGAGAGAATCTTAAGTGGGCTTCATGCTCAGTACAGAGCCTATCATGGGGCTCAATCCCACCACCCTGGGATTATGATATGAACTGAAATCAAGACATGGTTGCTTAACTGACTGAATCACTCAGGTGCCCTACAGTTGCATTTTTAATACCAACTACAGTTATCCTATTTTAGGAATTGTATTTTATAATAGGTCTTTAATTTCTGCTTGGACTAGAGAAAATTTATTGTGTTTATACATTTTCTGGATACACAAATGAAATATACAATATATATTAGAGGTGAGTATATCGTATTCTGCCAACTCTTAAAAAGCTGAGGATATATAATTACTTACTAGAGATCATGTATCTTTTAGAGTGAAAAGTAATTTCATTAATATTAGGATTTGTACTGAATGAAAAAGCTATAATGATATATACAAACATGCTTAAATTCTTTAAGTATTTGAGAAAAGGTACATCATCTGTAAGGGGAATACTAGGATTTACATAGAAATTATTTATGACTTTAAAATAATTACTTAACTTGATTTTAGCTTCCTTAGATTAAGGACCAATACCAGGCTATGAAGCTTGGAAAATTCTTCAGATTTTATATTGATGTATTGAATTCAGAAAGTAAAGATAGTAGTTATAGAATCATATCCTCCTTAGAAGTTGCAGTTGGTAAGTTAATTATATTACTATTAATTATCCAGTGTAGTTAGTTTCTACAGTAGTTAAGATAGTAATGCAATATGAATAGCAAAATAGGTTACTTTATTTCTACTACAAAGTAGAACCAGGAGAGGGCACTGCTATGCTGTCTTTAGTAGATGAGGCAGTTGTAGTGTCAGAAACTGTATTGGAATCATGCAGTGATTCATTTATCAAAATCTGTCCAGTGATTTGGCAAATATTTATTGTCAGTTTTATGCCAAAGGGTACAAATCAAAACCGTGAGTTCCCTACTTGAGCTTACATTCAGATAGTCTAAGATTGTACAAATGATGTAGGACATCAAAATGATTTTTCTATTCTGCAAATCCACTTGTCTGTATAGTTGTTAATACTTGTGAATGGGGCAAGAGAGAACAAGTAGGAAACAATTGTTTTTCTAAGTACTTTTATAAACCCTCCCACTTCAAGGTTCTCAAAGTCATAAATAGTAATACCTCAACTGGTAAGGAGTTAGAGGTGAATACAACTAAATTTACAATTCTCAGACTATTTCCTTTTTTATATAGTGAAGTTACTTAAGATACAGATACCTATATCTTACTGATGGAATCCTGAAACATACTTTAATTCTATTAGTTGTTCTTCTCATAATGTATTTTAAATTAGCCTAAAAAGTATTGTCTGATACTACAAATGAATCTATGTAGCATACGTAGATTATAAAGCATAATCATCCAGTATGTGTTGAACCTACTGCTCAACTTAAGAACCTGAGTCTTAAAAATCCCTCATGTTCAACTATGTACTTCTTCTCTCGTCTATCCCTGTGCCTGCCCCCAAGAGGTGATGACTAGTTTCTATTTTTCATCATTCTTTGCTTTTTTAAAAAGTGTATTTTTTGTTATTTTTGGGTGTTTTTTTTTGTTTTGTTTTTTGTTTGTTTTTTGTTTGTGGTTGTTTTGTTTGTTTTTTAGAGAGAGTACACGAGTGGGGGAGAGGGGCAGAGGGAGAGAGAGAGAGAGAAAAAAAAAAA